TTTGGTATCAAGAAATGTGAAAGTGGTTTTGAAACTGTGAATGGGTAGAAGCTGCAAGAGTTTTAAAGTGCCTAATTGTAAAAACCTAGATTGCCTTGAAGAGACTGTTGGTGTAATTAAGAACATTCAAAGACAATTCTGGTGAGGACTCAGAAGGTAGTGAGGAGTGCTGTTACACTGAAGACAGCACAGACGGCAAGAAGCGGCAGCAGAGAAGCGGCAACAGCAGAACCGGGAGACCAGTGTGAGACAGCACTGGAGCCGACCCATGGAGGGAGAGAGCTGAGTGCCTTTGCACAGGAGGCTTCCTGGCAGAGCGGTGTGCCTTCAGGCACTTATTGATGGAGCTAAAGAGCTTTGGAACACTTGACCCAGCAGGGCAGACGCAGGCAGTGAGGCCCAAGGGGCTGAGAGACCAGGAAACCAGGAAGCAAAAGCTGAAGAGACAGGGAACACAGGAAGCAGAAGCTGAAGAGAGAAAGTGTGGAGTCACCACTCAGATGGACTAAAAGAATGGTGCGCCCAAAGGCAAGGGAGCAGAGTTGCCACTCCAGTGGGCCTGGAAGGCGGAGCGGAAGCCCAGGACCAAGGGGCCTCTACTCAGAATCTGGAGAGTGTGGCCAATACCTAGAGTCAGGAGGGCAGGGCCATTGTGTAAATGGTCTCAGAGAACAAAAGATTATTTTCAAGCCTTGAGAGCTAATTTAACGTGTTCTGTTGACTTGCTTGGTGCCTATTATGCCTTCTTTCCCACCAGTTTCTCCCATTTGTAATGGAAATGTCTAGCTTGTGCCTGTTCTACCATTGTATTTGGAAGCAGATAACTTGTATTCTAGATTTCACAGATGAAGAGGAATTTTATACATTGTATAGGTTAGTACAAATAAGTAGTCATATTCATTAGACGTCACTTGAGTATGTCTATAGTACCTGGCACAAGTTGTTGTTGTTAGTTGCCATCATGTCTGCTCTGGCTCATGGTGACCTTATGTATAATAGATGAAACATTGTCCAGTCCTATGCCATCTTCATGATTGTTGGTATATTTGAGTCTGTTGTTTTGGCTCTTGTGTCAATCCATCTCATTGAGGATTTCCCTCATTTTCACTGACCCTCTCCCTCCCTGGCACAAATAACGTGTCCATAATTGTGAACTGGATCAGATTGGATTAAATTGATTGAAAGTGGCTCTAATGGCTTTCAGCTCTTAGATTTTGTAATTTAATTTAACATCCCTGCCCAGATAGATGTTTAGACTAAGGCATGCCTGTTCAAAGACATATTGTTAGGCCCAAGTGTCTTCTGATCTGAAAGATCTACCCGATCAGGTAGGTCAGTTCTGGGAACTAAGACTTTCCTGCAATTTTGCAGAAGGGATTGACTTACCAGCCTAAAATGAGCACCATATTCTCTCTCTGGCCTCAACTCTTGGAAGGTCCAGTGAGTCTCAGTATGTGAAAGCAGGTATTATGGAGGTACTCAGAAATGTGGTGGTACTGGTTCAAACCCAGTAAATGAACTTGTTGCCGTAAATACTAAAACCCAAAATAATGAGCAGTAACATCTCCTTACAGTTGCCATTTAATTGCATTATCAGGTCATCAGTGAAAGTCACTAGGGTACTTTATTTTCTCGGAACAGGGTGTTTTTTGCCTGAAGGATTATGTTGGCATATGTCTGATATGTTAGGTTATGTCTGATGGTTTTGGGCAAAGATAAAAAGTGTAGTGATGACTAGTTATTTCTTGCTCAAGTCCAATAATTTTTCATAGATACTTTTGAAACCTGTAGTTTTCATTTTTGTGGGAAATTTTTTATTCACGTATTTTGGCTTTAAAATATAACATCCAAAATGCCTGACATCTACATTTTTTTTCCGATGTGTTTTGTTGGAGCTACTTTAAAGCCCTACACAATGCATTGTTTCCCATCACATTCATCTTCAGAGCCTTCTGAGATAGTTGCTCAATAACATGTCACAAGAAAGGTTCAAATTTGCAAAGCATTTGACATTGTCGCCTGTGTTGCCAATATGTATTTAATAACCATTTGTTCCTTACACTCTTGCCTGCCAGGCTCTAGACATATGTACACACCAGCTCCATAAATCCATAAAGGTTAATAATAGCACTAAAAGTAGGTTGGAGTATGCCTTTGCTACCTAGCTCTTCTTCTACGTCCAGCTGAAACACTTTGTTCTTCCTTAGATATACCGATGATTGTATAAGGATATATGTCTTTATGAGAAATTTCCCACAAGTTCTCAACGAAGACTCCAGGGTATTGTCTAATGCTAGATGATAATTGTCCCTGTTAACTGCTCAAGGGATTTCCCACATGTGTAGGTGGCAGAAATGATACCAATTTGAATCATAGTTTTATAAAACATGGTTTCATAGGATACACTCTTTTGGTTAAACTAAACTTCCTTTTTGTCTTCAAAGAGTGAGATAAATGTTTGTCTTAGTTGTTAATATCTGTTTGTTTTATTTCAGTGTTATAGGCATGGATGGGAAGAAATGCAGTGTCTGGATGTTCTTACCTCTTGTATTTACCTTGTTTACTTCAGCTGGATTATGGATAGTGTAAGTATTCTCTTATTTAATTATTTAAGGATTCAGGGGCAATGTAAATAAAAATGTGAAGTTTTGATGATGTATTCCCATTGCCATCGAGTCAATTCTGACTGACAGCAACCTTATAGGACAGAGTAGAACTCCCCCAAAGGGTTTCCAAGGCTGTAATCTTTACGGAAGCAGACTGCCACATCTTTCTTCGTGTAGCAGCTGGTGGGTTCGAACTGCCTTTCGGTTAGCAGCCAAGCACTTAACCACTGACCACCCAGGGCTCCTTTGATGATATATAGCACATCTGTATTCATGTACTAATGTTGTTGTTGTAGATGCCATTGAGTCAATTTAGACTCATAGTGACCCCATGTGACAGAGTAGAACTGCCCCATAGGGTTTTTCTAGGTCTTTCTCCTGCAGAACTGCTGGGTAGGTTCGAACCACCAACTTTTTGGTTAGCAGCCAAATGCTTAATCGTTGCACCACCAGGACTCCTTTATGTACTTATAAATACTTTAAAATAATATATTAACTAATTCAATCTTGCTAAAGTCCCCATTTCTTTTCTCTTTTTCTAATACCAAAAATAAATAACAAGAGTGAGTAATAAATTATGCAAAACAGATAGTGAAGAGTACTAGTTTTAGTTTGTGTTTGTGTGTTCTTCTAGTAATGAACATTCTGTAAATATAAGTATAAGTTCATTATTTGTAAGTGTTTGCTAATTTGATGATAACATGCTGTGGGTTCCATGCATAGTTCAGCTCATGGTCCAGTTATTTGTGAATGGGCCCAGTATGTTTATAACGTTATAAAATATAGTTGTATTGGAAGCCTTGGCTTAACACAATACGATCCCACATTGACTAATTTCAAGTAATTTTCACTTCAAGGAGATTATTTTAGTTCATTAAGACAGGTGGACACATATTTCTGAGAAATTAAAAACATTAAATTCTAGTTTTAGTTTGCCTAAGTTGCAAGGTCGTATTTCTTTGTTTTCCAGTTTCCCATCTATATCATAATGATTGCTGTTGATTTGGGGGGGAGATGTTTTGAAAATTAAGAAATGTTATCAATAATCACATTTGAAATTCAAAGAACTAGGTGATCCACAGGAAAAGACTTGTAGTAATAGAGCATTTTATCAGACGAAAAAAAAAGAGAATTTGATTAATGTGGTTAGTGTAATAAAACCAAGAAATAAATTATTCTTTTTAAAAACAATTCTTTGTTTTATAAACTTTTATTGTTTTTTCTTCATAGATACTTTATAGCTGTGGAAGATGACAAAATTTTCCCGTTAAATTCAGAAGAAAGGTAAAGTTTATCTCAGGGTAATCCATTGTTCATCAGTAAACTTAGCAAAAAACTTTGCCACTAGTGAGGTAAAACTGTACACGAATAACCATTCTTTAACCTGTGCTTCTGTGCTTTTTGTTCTACAGGAAACCTGGTGCAAAGCATGCACCATATATAAGGTAACTTGATAATTCTCTTCTGATCTGTTAGATCTTATTAAAAGTTGAGAAGGCTATAGATTTTAATATAGGAACAATAAAATGTTTCATGTTTTTCAAGTATTGCAGGTGATGAAGCTCCTGCAAGCTGTGTGTTTAGTCAGGTAATGAACATGGCAGCATTTCTAGGTAAGAACAGCAGAAAGCATGCTTTACACACTTAGATGCATTTCTTTTTTATTTTAAATTTGCCCAAACCCATATCACAGTCGTGGTGGGCTTAGTTGACAATTTTATCAAATCAATATACTGAGGCCAGCTTTTTCTTTTGAGGTCTTTTTTCTCATAAGTTCTTTTGCATTCCCTTTGTTTCTCTAACATTTTCTCTTTCCTTTACCATCTTTACCATTTCAGCTTATTCTTAACTTTATTTCTTATGCTGCATGAAATAATGTTATTTCATGTGCCGTAAAATCCTGGGCGAGAAATGTCATATAATGCAATACATTTGCTTTGAAAAGAATGCCTTATTTATTCCTTCACTGGCAAAGATGAAAAAATGGATAGGCTTTTGATAAATATTGATTTGTGTAGATACTGTCTTTGGAGCCCTGGTGGTGAAGTAGTTAAAGAGTTCGGCTGCTAACCAAAAGGTTGGCAGTTCGAATCCACCAGCCACTCCTTGGAAACCCTATGGGGCAGTTCTCCTCTGCCCTGTAGGGTCACTATGAGTGAGAATCCACTCGACAGCAATGGGTTTGTTAGCTATTGTTTTTAAATCTAAAGGTCAGCATTAATGTTAAGACAACACTTTCCCCTTGCCTACACACATATTAGGCTGGCAAGTGAGGACTAGATGGGGGGAAAAAAACCTTTAGTATTTATGTGTTGTTGTTGTTAGGTGCCGTCAAGTCAATTCCAACTCACAGTGACCCCACGTGACTGAGTAGAACTGCCCTATAGAGTTTTCTAGGCTATAATCTTTACAGGAGCAGACTACCAGGTCTTTTTTCTGTGGAGCTGCTGGATGGGTTTGAACTGCCAGCTTTTCTGTTAGCAGTCAAGCGCTTAACCATTGTGCCACCAGGGCTCCTTTGGTACTCATATCTGGTCCCAATTCTCCACTTTTTTCTTAGGACCCAAGACTTTCGCTTAATATCCTGCCCTCTCTTATTCTGTTGATTGTTGTAGTTTAAGCGAAAGTTTGTCCCTCATACAAAAATTTATACATACATTGTTATGTGACCCTAATTGCTCTACCTATACTGTGACAGCACATTCCTCCTTTCCACCCCTGATTTACCGTGTCCATTCAACCAGCTCCTAACCCTCTCTGACTTCTCATCTCACCTATGGACAGAAGCTGCCCATTTAGTCTCACGTATCTACCTGAGCTAAGAAGCACACTCTTCACAAGTATCATTTTATGTCCCTCTGTCCAGTCCAATCTTTGTCTGAAGAGTTGGCCCTGGGAATTGTTTTAGTTCTGAGTTGACAGAGAGTCCGGCGGGCATGCTTTCTGGGGCTCCTCCAGTCTTGGTCAGACCATTAAGTCCGGACTTTTTCTTTTTTAATGTATTCCAGCCTGTAATTTTTTTGTTGTTGTTTTGGTGAAAATATACACAACAAAACATATACCTATTCAGCAGTTTCTGCATGTACAGCTCATTGACAGTGATTACATACTTCAAAGTGTGTCACCATTTTCCGTATCTCTGCCCATATTGTTTTATCACCATTAACTTAGACTCTCTGCCCCTTAAAGTTCTCATCTGTGTTTTAGAGTTACTGTTGTCCATTTAATCTCATGTAGATAATTCTTTAAAAAGAGCGCAGTGCTCAAGGTGAACGTTCTTTACTAAATGAGCTAAATTGTTGTTTAAAGATGACTTCATGGGATAGTTTTGGTTCAAGGCTTAAAAATTGTTTCCAGGCAATAGATTTGGAGGTTCCTCCATTCTCAATGTGTCCAGTAAGTCTGGTTTCCAGTAAGAGTTTAAAGTTCTTTTCCATATTTTTTCCTCCTTTTGATCAAGATCCATCTTTTGAGTCTTTGATCAAAACATTCAATGATGATTGTTGGGCATCATCCATTTCTTCTGGTCTATGGCAGAGGTATTCATGAAGGCAGTTAGACCTCACAATGTCTTTAAAGGGTCAACTAGCTATCACTGTTGGTGTGCTGTTGGGAAAGGACCAGTGACAGCTAAATCTTTTGACAATGGTCTTCTAGAAATGTTTTATTATTTTTGTTTATTTTGTCTTTTTCTTTTGGTTATTCAAGTTTTTAAAAATTGTTGTAAGGATATATATAACACATCGGCCAGTTGAATGTTTTTCATGTGTACAGTTTAGTGATAGCAATTACATCAGTCATGTTGTGCAACCATCACTAAAAATCATTGCCAAATTTTTCATTACCATAAACAGAAACTCACTGCTTCTGGAACAGTGGCTCCCCGTTCCTCTTCTCCTTCCCACCCCTGGTAATCACTAATGAACTTTGGTCTCTATACATTTGCCTATTCTATATATTTCATATAAGTGATATGATACAGTATTTGTCCTTTTTTGATTGACTTACTTCACTCAGCATGATGTTTTCAAGGTTCGTCTATGTTCTGACATGCATCAGGACTTCCTTTCTCTTTATGGCTGAGGAATATTCCATTGTATGTGTATTCCCACTTTGTTTATTCATCTGTTGATGGACATTTAGATTGTTTCTACCTTTTGCCTATTGTGGATAGGGCTGTGAATAGAAATGGTTGTTTGTTTGGAGGTGAAACTTACACTCCAAGTAAGAGATAAAGATAATGTTATTTGACCTTTGTGTCACCTATCCCCCAAACAAGTGACCCGTTATTTCATCTATGATGAAACTTCTCCAAATTCTTACTCACACTTAACATTTTCTCTTTTAATGTATGCTATAAGAAAAGGGAAGGCGCCCTGGTGTTGCAATGGTTAAGTGCTCGGCTGCTAACCAAAAGGTTGAGGGTTCAGACCTACCCAGCTGCTCCTCAGGAGAAAGATCTGGAGATCTGCTCCCGTAAAGATTATAGCCAAAAAAAGCCCTATCGGGCAGTTCTGCTGTGTTACATGGGGTTGCCATGAGTCAAAAATTGACTCGACAGCACCTAACAACAAGAGCATAAGAAAAGGGAAGACCTATAGAACTCACTGGAAAATCAAGGGAGACAGTTGGTCCAACACCCAGTGCAGGCAGGATCCTAGTTGGTTCAGAAGGCCCAAAATGTGAGAGACATGGAGAACTGTCTCTGTCAGGTCCAAGAGAACTGTCCTGAACCTGTGAGGTTCAAAGAAAAGCACACTGCGGAGCTTCTCTGGAGTTAACGAGATTCCTCCCTGGAGCTAACCTTATTTTAGTCAGAGACTTTTCCCACCCAAGCTTCCCTAGAGTGTATCCCATTCCCCTAAGCAGGGAGTGTTTGGAAGGCATGGACTGCTACCTTCCACTAAGGAGAAAGGTAAGTATATCCTGATGCTGGGGCTGATGAATCTTTAAAGAAGCTCTTCTCTTCATGCCCTTGGCAGTCAGGATTTTCATGTCCCAGATATTCCCAAGCATTGAGAAAGGTGGCACTTACAGCAGCCGTGCCTATCTGGTCACCAAACCAGTCCTAGTCCCTCAAGTTTTGCCATCACTGCCTTCATCCTCAGAGCTTCCAGAGATCCTTATACGTGCTGCTTTTTCTACTCTTGACGCTACTCTTACGAACGATCTAACAACCTTATTTATACCAAGGCATAATTGACTGCTAAGGATATATTTGCATTTAACCGAGTGCAGAGTCCTTAGAGTGAATCTTGAATTGCAGGGTCAGGGACCTTTCTCAGCCTCTCTGAAGTAACACCACATAGGCCTGCCGGTTGGCACCTACTCATATGATCGTCCTCATAGAGAGTGATAATAACAGTAATTAATAGCAGTCACTTATATTCTAGGCATAATGCTAAGTACTTTGCAAATACTACCTCATTTAATCTCGATACATGGGAGCCCACCCTTATAAAAAAGCTGTCACAAGCTGTCTGTCCCCCACTGAGCTTCAAAGAAACCAGAGAACATGTTGGAAATCACATACTGTTTTGTTTTGTTTTTTTCTTGAGACGAATTGGTATTTCCCCACAGTCTTTAGTCTGTAATCTAAAAAAATAACAGTTTGCACAGCTCACAAACTCATCCAGTTATAAGGCTTGTGATTAATTAATTATAAAAGCATTTCCAAAAGCAAAGCAATGAAAACAAGCTTCCCTCTTTCAGATGACATTTGTCATCATCTTATTCTCCAATCCTTCCTTGCTGCTTGCTCCACCAAGAAGCAATTAAACTTTTACTACCTGTCTTAGTTATCTAGTGCTGCTATAACAGAAATGGAAATGCTGTAACAGAAATGGAGCCCTGGTGGCATAGTGGTTAAGAGCTCGGCTGCTAATCAAAAAAGGTCAGCAGTTCAAATCTACCAGCTGCTCCTTGGAAACCTTATGGGGCAGTTCTACTCCGTCCTGTAGGGTTGCTGTGAGTCAGAATCAACTCAACGGCATGAAACAACAACAATATAACAGATATACCACAGGTAGATAGCTTTAACGAACAAATTTATTTTCTCACAGTTTAGAAAGCTAGAAGCCCAAATTCAGGGTGCCAGCTCTAGGGGAAGGCTTACTCTCTCTCTGTTGGCTCTGGGGGAAGGTCCTTGTTTCTTCTGAGCTTTTGCTCCTGGGCAGTCTTCATGTGGCTTGGCATCTCTCTTCACCCATCTATGCTCGGCTCCCTTGTTTAATCTCTTTTATATATCTCAAAAGAGATTGACTCACTATAGACCCTACAATAATCCTGTCTCATTAACATAAGAAAGACAACCCATTCCCAAATGGGATTATAACCACAAGCTGAGGTTAAGATTTACAACCCATATTTTTGGGGACACAGTTCAATCCATAACATGCCACCCTTTGGCCCCCCAAAACTCATGTCTTTGCCACAGATAAATTCACCCCATCACATTATCCTAGAAGTCTTAAATCAATTCCCAAAATCGCATCTTCTAAATCATCTAAATCAATTATAGGTGAGACTTTAGGCGTATTCCATCCTGGGGCAAGATTCCTCTTCATCTGTAAATTTGTGAAATTTGGAATACAAATTATCTGTTTCCAGAGTA